TAAATTGTCGGCAATAATACTATTAATAGGTGAAAGAGAGTAGAGAAACTTTGGTAGTAAATAGATTTCGTATTTATTTAGCATTATATTTTATTGAAACGCTCCAAGTGCCTGTGGCTAACACCGTCCAATTAATAGCTTATGTTAATGTGATAATCACGATTGTCATGTGACATGACGATTTCATGATGATAAACTGTTTATTGACTTTGTTGTGTTGAAATTGAGTGTGATTCCTTTATAGCTGCAGGTATCTTAAAGTATACATGAACCCAGCAGAAATAGCCACATACACTATTTACGTTATCAGCCTACTTTCTCTTCTTTACCAAATATTACCTGTTGGTTATCATCAGAATCCGAGAGTTCTCCGTCTTCTAGCATTTCCACATGTGCCGCCATTTCTAGCCGACTCATAGACGGCACCCCGTCTCTTCATTGTATCTTGTATCTTGTATCTTGGGATTTTCATATTTCAAAATGAAGAGACGTAGTCCCAGTCTAAGCAGCTGATCGACCGTCGCGCCACTCGCGGGATTCATAAACCGTGCAGCGTGAAAAATGGCAAGGTCTGTACCCCCGCGTTTAAAATTTCAAATTTTACCTAAAATAAGAAATTTAAGCACTCCAGAGGGACCTCTTGGGCGAATCAAGCAGCTGCAGAAACTAGTTGGCGCAATTATTCAGTATGAGAGAATAGAATCACAATGGTCTCGTGCGGACGAAGCGAGAGGATATGTTGAAAGGGTAAGTCGGCAAGACACTACTCACTACACTACTCACTAGGGCTCATATTCATAGGTGCAAATCCACTTTAGGCAACCTTAGGTACCGTATCACGAAGTGATGTACAGATTTCTGTGTATCATCAACTGATGCACAGTGCCACAGACATTCCGTATATCAAGGAATGATGCAAAAACCCTAGGGTCTATGTTCCCCAGGGTACTGCCTGAACGTACCCTGGGTACGGTTCGGTATACCGTACCCAAGGTACATTCCGGCAGTACCCTGGGGGACATAGACCATCTCAGCCTCACTAGGCCTACTCACTACTAAGGCCGAATCGTCAGCATATAATAAAAGATTGACGATAACTGCCTTTGCCATGTCATTAACATAAATCAGAAATAACAGAGGACCCAAAATCGAGCCTTGTGGTACTCCACATGCAATAGGGTCCTTATTAGAGAAGGTACCTCCTACATCAGTTATTTGGCTTCTACCAGAGAGATAAGCACCGAACCGTTGCTACTCACTACACTAGTTCAGTAGTTGTACTTACACTTGTTGTAAGTTGTAGTTCTCTCCTAGCCCAAGCAGGCTGCGAGACCAACGTCAATACATGGGTCTGGTTACATGGGGTTGTGCCAATGGCTAGCATCAAGAAACGATGGGATGTCGGGCATGTTGTCAATGTCACGTTCATGAATTCAATATTTGTAGTTGTAGTAGTTGTATGTAGGGGCTTTATTCTAACATATAAATTATTTGCATCAGCAATGCATGAACACTGATTCTAATTTCACAATTGATAAGTGAAGGTTGCATACAAGTTTTTCTTTATTTCAGCTCATCCAGGAGGCTGTACAGAATGGCCCAAATCACAAACCAACCATGGAGCTTGCAAATTACTGGCTTGTGGTAACTGTTTCACGTCACTCTACATATAAATTAGTAAATTCGTAGCATTGAAATGTACCACATTTTGCAGATTGTATGGCACTCCGATGCAGTAGACGTACCTCAATTTTAGAGGTAAAAAATAAGTCCGAATAAATGGATTTAAATAGATAGAAAAAATATGAAATAGATGTGCAATCTCTGAGCTATATTTCACAAGACCAAGTTGCTTTAGGTGATGGACATTGATAGTTGATACGTGTTGTTATCCTGCTACTGCCTTGTTAATGCTTGTATTGTTTATATTTCAGGATAAAGATTTGGTGCACAAGCTATTCAAGGTTCTGGTGCCGAGGTTCCAAAATTATACGCGTGCCTATACGAGCATGTTTCCACTTCCTCTCAAAATGCCTGGTAGGGTCAACTACAAAGCTGTACTAGAACTGAAAGGTAGGCATCACCTCCCCCCTTTTACTACTGCAATAATACCCTTCTTTTTCTGTTCATAATACCAATAAACTGTTTCCCGTCACTATTACCTCTATGTTGTGGATAAACTATTTAAATCTAGGCTTCAAAGCGAGATCGTCCACGTGCTTTTTAATCAGCATGTAACTTGCAACCCTAACTCGCATTTAATCACAGCATGAGAATGTTAATTAATTAGAAACCTAATCGCTCTAGGAATAGGAGCTGCACATTAGAAAGGCTGGCAGTGTGTTAACTAGTGAAAATAATCATAATTAGGCCTGCACTGTAGAGAGCGAGAGTGAGAGAGAGAGAGAGAGCGAGAGAGGAGAGAGGAGAGAGAGAGAGAGAGAGCAGAGAGAGCCAGAGAGAGACAGAGAGACAGAGCCAGAGACAGAGAACAGAGACAGAGGACAGAGACAGAGGACAGAGACAGAGACAGAGAGAGAGAGAGAGAGAGAGAGAGAGAGAGAGAAGTTGCAGTGCTGCATCAACATGCACAGAGACTGCACAGAGAGGATCAACTATCCGAGGCTTTCTTGACGTTGCAGGAAACGCGTACCCGCATGTGGTGCCTCATCACCATGACAACCACCACACCCTTCTCAACCAGCTGCTCAGCGCTGCTAACGACGAATATCGGCAGCAGAAGCTCGCCGAGAAGCTGAGCGCCCTGAATATTTCGATGGCGCAATTCGGCGACGAGGACAAGGCGACGGGGGATGCATATTCCGGAGCGGAGGAGGATGGGAAGGGTCGCACGGCAGCAGACGACAACGAGGAAGCTGCAGGGGGATCGCCCGATAAGACGACGACGGCGGCGTGATGTACGTTCCGTGTTTCGTCGTCGTTGCTGCGATAATGAATGACTGTAATGCTGTTGGGTTGGGTGGCACGTGTTCTCCTTCAAGCAGTCGTGGAGTGACAGAGATTCGGAAGCTGTGTTGATCGAACGCGTGCCCGTTGTTTTTATTATCGTAATTTGCACAAAGTGCAGGAAGTATGTTAGTTTGTGTGCGAGAGTGATTAAGATAAAATCTTATCAGCAATAGTACAAAACATCTGTCGATTATTTAACTCAGACCAGACTTAATCACTTGACTGTATATAGTTTTCACTCAAATTTTCATTCAGACATAAAAACACATGTAACTTTATTAAAATAAATCAATAATGTGTATAAATATAAGTAATACTTTGTTTGATAATATTATATGTACTGGATAATGTACGCACAATTTGGTACCCAATCCCAAGCTGGCCAATGTCAGGGTTAAATGTTTCAGCACAGACATCCACAGTGATTGTTTTATTAGTCACTGGAAGGCAGTGACAAAAGTTGGTCAATTTCCCTGAAAGTACAAACCAAATACACATCTTACTGTGTATGTGCTGAAATTTACAAATGTGCTGAAAATGGTTATTATTATTATTACTACTTATTATGATCATTATTATTTAATTTACAACCAACAGTAGTGCACTATTACACAACTATCTTTCATGTATCTTATAAAAAATTTTGTCGCTGGACTACTAGTCATGAAGGGCACTATTTCTTCCTGCAGGTGGCGCCACTATGTTGCAAATGTGCTAGTAAGGAATATTTATGAATGGAATAAGAAATATAGCATTTCGCGAGTCAAATATAATGTTCCTACAACTCATACAAAGAAGAGAAATATTCGTGCAGGTTAACACTAGCCGTCACTTAGTAGCTTCACCCCTACCTCAGCTTTGCATTGTATTGGTCTCTCAGCTTCAGTAATGCATCCAACAACTCATCTGATTTGAATTCCTCTTCGTCATCATCAACGAGCGACGTCCAGGAGTCTGCAGCAGATGTCACTTCACTCTTTCTGGGACTAGGATCGGTTGAAACTAAATCGTCTTCAAACAGCCGGTCACTGACGACCTGATCGCAGTATAATTTCATGCATGATAGTTAATACTCTACACGTCGTGTCGACTCAACATTTTGGAGAATAAAAATATAATGAAACCATTTAACAAATACCAACTACACTTGATGCATGCACGCACACATGCGCATGCATGCTGGCATATAGAGTCACGCACATATATATAACAAGCATCTATACCTTCGGAGCTCGCCTAGGGTGTAATGAAATTGTTGGTACAACATAAGTACAGGGCTCCCTGCTTAATCAGGCCTCGTATAAACAAGTACCTCGCTTAAGCGACACGTACGTGTCTTTAAAAAATAATCCTCCTATACACATTGCCACGCGCTCAATGCTTAATCAGGATCACCACTTAATTTTGGGAAATTGAGACCACTGCCTAATCAGAATCTGTTTGTGGTCTCTGACTTGTCCCAATAAAGCGGACACCATCGTACTATCGCTGCCGTAAAGCAGGCATTCGTACATGACGTGGTTTGTGGCAGTGAAAAAACTACACGGGGGCTCGGGGCGATTTAGCCCCCGAAATGCCCAAAAGAGCCCCGGAAATGCCAAAAAAGAGCAATGCAAACCAAATTTTAGAGTGCTATTTTCATGCACGCGAGCTTGAAAAGTAGCCCACGAAAAATAAATTTTCCCTGGTTTGTGGGTTTGATTCATCCTGCAAACAACGCTCCAGAGTCCAGACCATACAGAAACGAAAATATTTCAACGAGTGCAGAAGTCGAAAGACACGAACCTGCGAGACGGTCTCATTCACTTTGCTCACAACCCGCCGTTTCAAGGCAGTCGCCGGCGTAGGTGGCACCGACAACGCCGTTTCATTGTCCGTACGGGAAACGAGCGGTGAGGTATCCGTGGTCGCTTCTGCGCTCTCCGCTCTGTTGTGAGCAAGACGCACATCCTGCATACCCTCGCCTTCATAACTCCGCTTCGATACGCTCTGTAGGAGCAGTCGCACGCACGCCTGTAGGGTTTCAGATGAATCCACGCAGCCTTGCGTACGGTGCGCGTCCGGCGAAATGTTGTCTGGCGAAACGCTTCTATCAGGATCTGGTGGCCGCAAGTTTTCGCCCCCGGCGTTGTGCGACGTGCCGCGATCCGTACTTCGCTGCTCTGGCACCGAAGAAACGTCGCCGCGACGACAACAGTGTAAGATTCTGCCACGACAACAAGCAGTCCTGCGACGGCAGCACGACGATGACTTCTCGTCGACGTCTTCGAGCGAGTTGCAGCAGGCGCACGTCCCACGATTCATCGTGCCTGGCGATGCGTCGCGGCGAGGCAGAGTGTTCCGTTCTCCGCTGTGGGGTTGTGTCGTGCCGGAGTCCTGACACATGGAGACGGAACCACGATTAGCATCGGGAGCCGGTACAGAGGTGTATCTGATGTGAGGGTTGACATTTTCTTGTAGTGTCAGAGCGGTTGGCGTGGGTACAACAGTGTGTGTTGATACCACGACATTTTCTTGTCCGCCTGCTTGCGTCTTCATCTGAAAAACGTGGCGTATTTAGTTTTGCGAAATAAGTAACATCACTCGTGTTTCATCAAAGATGGACAAGATTAGTCGTTAGTGATATATTTTCAGATACACTCGGGATTACTAGTCACATTGATTTCATGTGACAACCTTACATCTTCCACTGAATATTACATTCGAAATAAATCTAAAGCCTAGCGCTGACCTGCAATTTTTGGTTGCTCGTCACTGCAACCTGCAACCGCAAGCGATCGGTCGACGTGTCGCCGCGTGTGCGCACACATGCGATTTCGAAGCAATTCTAGAGCAATTTGGGAGCGATTGGGAGCGACGAGTCGCTGAAAATCAAAACAGTTTGATTTCTTGCAACTCGTCGCAAACGACTAGAATCGCTATGGGTTGCAGTTGCACGTTCCCACAGACGTAGCGATTTCACAGCAATTTTTACAGCGATTCTAGTCAAGTTGCATGAAAAAGTTGCAGGTCTGCGCTAGGCTTAACTTCACCTTTTCAAACTCTTGCTCAGCGATCTGTCTGGCTTCACCCATCTTTCTGCGAAGTCTCCACTGATACAAGATGTCATCCTCAACATTGACCCGATTCCGTTCTGATCCGTACAACTTGTGCCGTAGCTGTTCTATTTCGTCGGGTGTCCGTGCTACTCCTTCTCTTCCTCCTCCTACTCCTCCTTCTCTTCCTCGTCCTCCTCCTATTAATACAAAATGCAAAGATGAAAAATATTGTTTTCTCTTTAGATAGTTGAACGTATATTCCAGGTCATCACACATACATGGAATACCATTATATGTAAATACATATATACAATTAATATCATCTGCAGAGTCGAATTAATAACGCAAGCAAGTTTACAATTTGAAGCATGAATGCTCCCACTTATTCACTCCAACTTCATCAACAATAAATAAAATACTTTAAAAGTTATCTTTTGGACTGAACAGGAACTGATCGCCATAGAATTTGGAGGTCAATACGATCCTTATCATGTGATTTTTTATTACACAGCTTAGGATTTCTACCCATAAATTGTCTTATTTTCAACGTGTTACTGTCCCAAAAGGACATCATATCATCAAAGTTCTGGTAAAAAGTATTGTAAAATTGTAAAATCATTTTTAGAGACAACAGGGATGAAATATACCCGTTACTAGAGAATATATAACAGAAGAGTCTAAATAAATGATGGTCCAGACCTATGCATTCAATCCAAGCATTTACTGACTTTTACATCATCTGTAGTCTTCTTCTCTCTATACTTCATCCGAAAAGTCATGCAGTACCTAGGTGCCTGCACAGACGCATGTTAAATAGGCAGCTATGATGCCAGCTGATGACATGTGTAGATATCTGTGTATCATCAAACAACTGTTGCTGCTTTTGCACATACCAAAGACAGGTTCCACATCAGTCTGGCTTTCACAGGACTGCAGAGTTGACATATTGAGTAATACTTTTGAGCTGAAAATGGCACATGAAATACGAGAAAATTAATCAGTACTAAGTATACATACTACCAGGAGTGACTAATAATAGATTCATTATTATTCTATTATATTCTATTTATTCTATTATTATTCACCCCTGATACTACATACAGTATTGTCTTGACTATCAGACATTCTGTTTTATCCAACACAGTTTATCGTGCTATATATGTACTGTACAGTGTTGTGCTGCGCCACGTGCATGCATACTATTTTGCCAAATCCGATGCTGCTTTGTCCATCAGTGCATCACATGCTGCGATTAGTCCAGGATACATACCCTTCCTGCAACAGCTGTTCAGTCCTTTCATTAAGCATCTTCGTTACCGCATCATCCGCTGATGCAGGGGACCAAGCCTTGTGCTCATCATGAGTAAACTCTTCTCCTTTGTGGTCAGCCATCCACCACAGTGTAGGTAGCTTTTTTCTCATCGTTTTGGGCTGTGGCGACCCATGCTTGAATCGATGAATAAATCTAAACATTGTAACGGGAATTAATGCCGAAGAAACCCAATTAGGTGACAATGGTATTATTATCAATATGTGTATAAATTATGTTTTTCATCATTAAGTAACTGACTCTGCGATTCAGTACCCATTTTAGAAATTTGGGAATTTTCTAAATACACCGTACGTATCACATCCTATAGATTATTATCCATAAGTTGCAAATCATATATATTAAGTATCCATTCTTAGGCGAGCAGTGCAGTTGGGTAGGGCGAGTTATACGACTTTACTTCAGCCTAGGCACTTGATTACACACTTACACAAGTTTTTGTCATTTTTAGAAAGTTTGGCCAAGCGTTTCACCCCAAATATCATTATTTTTCAAACTGTGGCTATACTTTCGCCAAAGTTACAAGTAGGGGGCCTACTTCACTAGGATCTTGACAGTAATTTCGACTATGTGAGAAAGGAAGATGGACACCTACTCTCGCATCGTGGTGGACGATGAGCCGTCGTCATTCCCGCCGCTGCTCGATGTGAGTGAGAGTTCGGAGTCTAGCAGCGTTGTTTGGCTTGATGACCGGTCTCTGGTCGGTGGGGAGGAGAGGTGCGGCACGTAGCCTTCGCTCATCGCATTAGTACTGCATCAATATATAGACAAGACAAGCATCATGATGAAGCGATGAAGCGACAAGAAGAAGATCAAGATCAAGATGATGATGCTGCTTTAGTGCTTAGCTCTACGTGATACTACATTGCAGTTTAGATACAACAACGAACGAACACACATTTTGATAGGGTTTTGTTATTGTAGAATAGAATAGCTATTCTATTCTTGTTATTGTGTCTAGGTTTGGAAAATTGTATTTAATTTGTGGAGATAGTCATCACTCCATGTTCATAGCGACACTGTCACTGACTCAGTGACTGACTCAGTGACTCACTGTCACTGACTATCACGGAAAAGACTAATCCCCGGGCAGTCTGGCAGGGCGAGCCCACAATGTAGGGGTGGTAGGGTAGGGTATGGTTAGGGTTAGGGTTTAGGTTAGGTTTAGGGTTAGGATTAGGGATAGGGTTAGGGTTAGGGTTAGGGTTAGGGTTAGGGTTAGGGTCAGGGTTAGGGTTAGGGTCAGGGTTCAACTTAGGCCTACCTTACCCGACCCTAACCTACCCGACCACCCCTACACTGTGGGCTCGCCCTGCCAGAGTGCCCGGGGATTAGTCTTACCCGACTATCACTGACCACAGAGTGGAAAGAGAACAAGTGAAAAGACAGAAGAATTAATGATCCGTAGCTGATTAGCTCACCAGGAATATATTTCGAAATCGTACAACTACATCTACCAAAGTTATATGTCCACGTTTATTTTCAGCATTAGAATTAGTTCAAGTTTGAAGTTAGTTGTGTGGAACTGAAGTGCAATGTTTTGATTTTTCCGCCATGTCTGTGAGTTCTCGCGAGACTTTGTGAGACACATGGTAATGGCAGCGCCCAACAAGAAAGAGCCAGCTCAGCCTGGGAAAGGAAAAATGCCGACAAACGAGCAAATAGTTGCAGGATTTAATCAACTTCGACAAGAGCAACGCGCAATAGCGTCTAAGTTGTCAGAGTTAGAACTTGAGTTGAACGAACATAGGTTAGTAGGCCATACAGTAGCTACATTTATTATTGAGTCACACTAACTTGCCATCACTCATCAGCCATCAATGTGATTTTGGGTGCTCATGACATGTGAGCGTGATTGTTGTTACATTCAAATACTTTATTGCGATTACTGCCGTGTTTCCATTAGTAAACGACTCTCAGATTCGTTAGCGTCACCATCATCAACTTTAGATATTTACTAATTTATGGATATTTATTATCGGAGGCTTTAATTTAATAATGGAAGTGATTATTTACCCGACCGTCGGGCCCGCAGTGAAGAGAATCCCGATTCGGTACACGACTGTGACGTCATCCATTAAGTGCATTTACCCAGAATGCTCAGCTGGAAAAATAGGTTGGAGACACAGTGGTGGGCTCAATAGAAATAATTTTAAGTCAGCCTAAATAGCGCAATGGTAAACCTCTCGACCTGTAACTGGAGCGGTACGTGTTCGATTCCCATAAGGGTTCTTTATTTTCCTCTGCTTTCTGTATTTTTTTATATTGTATTTGTTTGTTTACGTTTGGCGTTAAATATATTTGTTTATGTTTGGCATTAAAAATTGTCCTATTATATATTTGTCTTGTTATGTTTCGTCCTATGTCCCCAACCTATTGGTAAAAAAAACGTTTGTTTACGGTTACGCAACCCTACCTAGAATTTTGGCGTCGACCCTAAATGTTTTTATCAAAATTAAAATTAAAATTAAAATTAAACTTTTTAAATTTAAAAAAATAACTTGTGAATTTAGATCTCACATGTATGCAGTTAATATATTAAATAATGTAAAACAGACTTTTAGGCAAGATCCAAGACTATAAGAAAAGATTTTTAGTACTATTACTAAGAAAGGGAGGAACTATCGAACAAGGTTAGTCAAGAGTGACACTGACAGATGCATGCCTGAGATGGGAATCAAGACTTAAAATTAAGACTTAAAATTAAGACTTAAAATTAAGACTTAAAATTACATTAACAAGAGCAATAAAATTATTTGGCAAAATAAAATTATCTCCCTACCTACCTACCCTATTTTATTCAAGGATGTAACCCTAAACAAATTTTTTGTAGGCCTTTTATCCTATTACAATACACGTTTCGTTCAGTTCATTCCCACGCATCAATTAATATTGCACGACGGTCGGGTAAACAAGACTTAATTTCTTCACTGCGCGCACGACGGTCGGGTAAACAAGACTTAATTTCTTCAGTGTGCGCACGACGGTCGGGTAAACAAGACATAAATGTCTTCACTGCGCGCACGACGGTCGGGTAAACAAGACTTAATTTCTTCACTGCGCGCACGACGGTCGGGTAAACAAGACTTAACTTCTTCACTGCGCGCACGACGGTCGGGTAAACAAGACTTAATTTCTTCACTGCGCGCACGACGGTCGGGTAAACAAGACTTAATTTCTTCACTGCGC